TTAACGGCTGATGAGGGAGCACCAACAAGTTTAAACCCTTTCAGGGTCGAGGGGCCCTCTTCTAAAACTCGTTCTCAGGGTCGAAAATTTTTCGGAAAAAAAAACAAAATTTTTATCATGAAATGATAGAGAATCTTTTCCTGGTCATAATGACACCAAAAGGTCTGAAATTTGATTAAAAACTTTAGGAATTATGCTCTCGTGAAGTTAGCAGTCTCGACAGTGTTTACACATCGGCGATTTTGCCCACTTTGAGCCCTATTTTTTGGCCAATTCCAGTGTACTAGTCGACAAAAATCATATTCATTTTGCTAGAACTCCATTTTTTCTATCAAACGAGTACAAGAAACCACCCATTTACCGATTTCAACTATCCAATAAAGTGGACAGAAATTCGCAATTTTACCAATTTCACACAAATTTCAGAAGATGCCAATTTCCAAATAGGGTCCAGAATAAACAAGACAGACATTCCTGGCACTAAAATAACATTTTCTCTGTTCATTAGTCATGTCCCCAGGCCTCTTTTACATCTCTTTTGAATTTTTCTCACAAAAAATCAGAAGATTTATTGTTATGCAGACTACTGCATTAGTGTAGAAATGGTATAAATAATATCAGCGCACTTGTGAAAGAATATTAGACTCACCAGTTGACGTGTATTGGACGTGTGGTGTGATTTGTTTACTTTTGGACTTTGGTAAAAATTGAACATTTCTGCTACTTTGAGCTCAGTTTCAAGGTACTTTTCATTATGAAACCAATCAAAATCATCTCAGTTTCTGTAATATGTCTTCCATTCTATAAAATGAGACCAGGAAAACTAAATACAATCATAAATACCATACGAAAATACAATGGACCCCCGGTTTACGATATTATTTCATTCCAGAAGTATGTTCAAGTGCCAGTACTGACCGAATTTGTTCCCATAAGGAATATTGTGAATTAGATTAGTCCATTTCAGACCCCCAAACATACACATACAAATGCATTTACATAAATACACTTACATAATTGGTCGCATTGGGAGCTGATCGTAAACCGGGGGTCCACTGTACACTGCAAAGTCGCTGTTTTAAAGCAAAAACATGGGCGGAGTTTTTTTTTTTCTCATTATGCACTGTGTGCTGCAGGATTTTTTTATACTGTGCACAGAGGGGAATCATAGGCCTAGTGTGCCGTGTGCAAAAAAAGTAATAATAGAACCTTTCTTTATCAGAGGAAAGAAAGTCTCCCTGATAATATAGTGTATACATAGTGTTATAGTGTATACTACAGTGGCACCCTAGTATATAGATAATAAATGCTAAAGTGTTTTTTAAAACAGGTGTAATTCAAACTGAAATGATAAGCCTAAAGAGGTAGGTGCCAGAAGTCGCCAGAAACTTAACACACAGGTTAGCCGTTTTAATAATCTTCCTGGCCTGCTAGTGTACCTCCATATAATCTAGTGATACCAGTGAATAGGAGAATTCAGTGTTGTAGTAGCAACTAACCAGTAATATAATGGTACTTAGTGGAGTGGAGTGACTTTCATTAGTTTCTTCCTCTTTTCTTGAAATACCAGACGTATACAGTGAAATTCATTTAAACTGTAGTTACCAGTGGTCGCAATATACACAACGAGAAGCAAATATTACTACAGAAAAAGCGTCTTTCCTCCAAAAATTCCACCAGTCAACTATAGTGATAATATAGCATTTGTTGTGGTGGAGACGGAAAAAAACCTAGAAAAGCTAGATACACTGATCGATAAACAAGGGTTGAGACCTGACCATTCATCATTGTAGGAGCTGCCAGCAATCACCAGTTCTTCAACACGCAAGTTATACTTTTGTATCAATCAAATCACATATTACTCGGTTAAATAATTTCGTGGGGAAGTTCATGAGGCAGTAGGTAAAATGAAAGGGGGTAAGGCAGCCGGGATTGATGGGATGAAGATAGAAATGTTAAAAGCAGGTGGGGATATAGTTTTGGAGTGGTTGGTGCAATTATTTAACTGGTGATTGATGCCAGCAATCACCAGTTCTTCAACACGCAAGTTATACTTTTGTATCAATCAAATCACATATTACTCGGTTAAATAGTTTCGTGGGGAAGTTCGTGAGGCAGTAGGTAAAATGAAAGGGGGTAAGGCAGCCGGGATTGGTGGGATAAAGATAGAAATGTTAAAAGCAGGTGGGGATATAGTTTTGGAGTGGTTGGTGCAATTATTTAATAAATGTATGGAAGAGGGTAAGGTACCTAGGGATTGGCAGAGAGCATGCATAGTTCCTTTGTATAAAGGCAAAGGGGACAGAAGAGAGTGCAAAAATTATAGGGGGATAAGTCTGTTGAGTATACCTGGTAAAGTGTATGGTAGAGTTATTATTGAAAGAATTAAGAGTAAGACGGAGAATAGGATAGCAGATGAACAAGGAGGCTTTAGGAAAGGTAGGGGGTGTGTGGACCAGGTGTTTGCAGTGAAACATATAAGTGAACAGTATTTAGATAAGGCTAAAGAGGTCTTTGTGGCATTTATGGATTTGGAAAAGGCATATGACAGGGTGGATAGGGGGGCAATGTGGCAGATGTTGCAGGTGTATGGTGTAGGAGGTAGGTTACTGAAAGCAGTGAAGAGTTTTAATGAGGATAGTGAGGCTCAAGTTAGAGTATGTAGGAAAGAGGGAAATTATTTCCCAGTAAAAGTAGGCCTTAGACAAGGATGTGTGATGTCCATGTGGTTGTTTAATATATTTATAGATGGGGTTGTAAGAGAAGTAAATGCAAGGGTCTTGGCAAGAGGCATGGAGTTAAAAGATAAAGAATCACACATAAAGTGGGAGTTGTCACAGTTGCTCTTTGCTGATGACACTGCTCTTGGGAGATTCTGAAGAGAAGTTGCAGAGATTGGTGGATGAATTTGGTAGGGTGTGCAAAAGAAGAAAATTATAAGTGAATACAGGAAAGAGTAAGGTTATGAGGATAACAAAAAGATTAGGTGATGAAAGATTGGATATCAGATTGGAGGGAGAGAGTATGGAGGAGGTGAACGTATTCAGATATTTGGGAGTGGACGTGTCAGCGGATGGGTCTATGAAAGATGAGGTGAATCGTAGAATTGATGAGGGGAAAAGGGTGAGTGGTGCACTTAGGAGTCTGTGGAGACAAAGAACTTTGTCCTTGGGGGCAAAGAGGGGAATGTATGTTTTACCAACGCTCTTATATGGGTATGAAGCATGGTTAATGAATGTTGCAGTGAGGAGAAGGCTGAAGGCAGTGGAGATGTCATGTCTGAGGGCAATGTGTGAATATAATGCAGAGAATTCGTAGTTTGGAAGTTAGGAGGAGGTGCGGGATTACAAAAACTGTTGTCCAGAGGGCTGAGGAAGGGTTGTTGAGGTGGTTCGGACATGTAGAGAGAATGGAGTGAAACAGAGTGACGTCAAGAGTGTATCAGCCTGTAGTGGAAGGAAGGCGGGGTAGGGGTCGGCCTAGGAAAGGTTGGAGGGAGGGGGTAAAGGAGGTTTTGTGTGCGAGGGGCTTGGACTTCCAGCAGGCATGCGTGAGCGTGTTTGATAGGAGTGAATGGAGACAAATGGTTTTTAATACTTGACGTGCTGTTGGAGTGTGAGCAAAGTAACATTTATGAAGGGGTTCAGGGAAACCGGCAGGCCGGACTTGAGTCCTGGAGATGGGAAGTACAGTGCCTGCACTCTGAAGGAGGGGTGTTAATGTTGCAGTTTAAAAACTGTAGTGTAAAGCACCCTTCTGGCAAGACAGTGATGGAGTGAATGATGGTGAAAGTTTTTCTTTTTCGGGCCACCCTGCCTTGGTGGGAATCGGCCAGTGTGATAATAATAATAAAAAAAAAATAATTTCCAGTAGATCCTTCATGTGTTAGCCCAAATCACTGACCAGTATGTTTTAAATAAGTGACCCTGATCAGATCCGACGGGTTCCGAACCCTTGACTGGTCCGAACCCTTGACTGGTCTGAACCCTTGACCGGTTTCAAACGGATTCGTTGGACAATAAAGCATACTGTAAACAGATGAGGTTTTAGGCACTCTTATCAAACACAAATAATAAATATAAAACAAACATACTCCGGTAAGCTGTATTAATATACAAGTACAGTGGACCCCCGGTTAACGATATTTTTTCACTCCGTAAGTATGTTCAGGTGCCAGTACTGACCGAATTTATTCCCATAAGGAATATTGTGAAGTAGATTAGTCCATTTCAGACCCCCAAACATACACGTACAAACGCACTTACATAAATACACTTACATAATTGGTCGCATTCGGAGGTAATCGTTATGCGGGGGTCCACTGTACAGTTAGAAATAGAAATACAAATAGCTAGAGCTTCACTTTAAGGAGGTTATTAATAGAATCTTCAAGAGGTTACTAGTAGAACTACAGTAAATCAACCATTCAATCACATTATGAAGCTCTGTGTAGTCTGCAGTCAATCAAAAAAACGGGCTTCCGCATGGATAAATTGTCATTTTTGTGAAAATTGGTGTCACGCCTCTTGTGCAGATATCCAAGAACTAGCTACAAGCAGTATTAAATCAGGGAAGTGTTTTTGGGTATGCCCAAATGAGATAAATCTGTGGACTAAAATCACATTGGTATTAAAAGAGGATAACATCAAAGCAGCCTTCATAGAAAACCTGGAAGCATTCTATAACAGATGGGAAAATAAAAAATCTGGGCTGGATGGTATCACCCTTGGTGCTGGCCATGTAGTTAGAAACTGTAAGGAGGTGCTGCCCGGGTAGTCAGTAAATGTGGGGCTGATAGTGCTGTCTTTGTAGACAGCAATGGTGAAGCTGGAGGTGCTGTCCTGGGAGACAGTAATGGTGAAGCTGGAGATTTTGTCCAGGTAATCAGGAAATATACGCAGGAGGGAATGCATATAAATGACCTCATGGGAGACAGGAGCTGTAGTGGGGAAAAAAGTGTAGTCAAGGACAAGATAAAACCAATACAGGTCTCCCTCAACATTCGCGAGGGTTAGAGGATCAAGAGCCTCGCGAATGTTGAAAAACCGTGAATGTTTGGTGCCCCAATATATTGTAGGGAAATATATTACAATACTGCTTCCTTAACTTGTTGAACCATGAACAATCATAAAATACATGAAAATGTCGTAAATTGTACTAAATATATACATGTTATGCTTTAATAATGTATGTTATTTAATAACATGTATGTTAATAACATGTATGTTATTAAATACCACAGACTCCACCAATGCCTCCACCACTGCGAGTCCCTACTACCCTCCCTCCGACCCCCGCAACTGGCAGCCAGCCCTCCCACCACTCAGTGTGGTGAGTGTTTTGTTTGTTCATTATTTGCTATTAAACTACAGAAATAATATGTAAACCATTCATGACTGCATATTGGAATGGCTATTCGTACAGGTATTAGACGGTGACATCATGTGTTTACTATTGAACACTGCAAAGAATTGAACATTTCTGCTATTGCTAATAATAACAATAGTAATAATAATAATAATAATAATAATAATAATAATAATAATAATAATAAATACGATAATTGAAGAAGGAAATTGTACAAAAATACGAGGGAGTGGTTGACACATCGTCAGTGTGACTGTTTATGCTGGAGTGAACATTAGTCTCCCTGCTCTTCCAAACATTTCACAATACAGTGGACCCCCGCATAACGATGGCATCACATAGCGATTTTTCCGCATACCGATTACTTTTATCGCAAAATTTTTGCCGCGCATACCGATTAAAAACCCGCTTACCGATTTTCGTCCGAGACGCGTCCAATGTGCCCTCAGCCAGCCTCACATGTGCCGGCCGTCCCATTGTTTACCAGCCAGCCTCCGCGGTAACATCCAAGCATACACTCGGAATATTTCGTATTATTACAGTGTTTTCGGTGCTGTTTCTGGAAAATAAGTGACCATGGGCCCCAAGAAAGCTTCTAGTGCCAACCCTGTGGTTTAAAAAGGGTGAGTATTAGTATGGAAATTAAGAAGATTTTGAAGGGTTTGGGGCTAACCCTGAGAAGCCTATGCCAGTTGTGGAATCCATTGTGCCTACTTCAAAGATTAAGGAAATGTGTGCACAGTGGGTTGAACTGCAAACCTTTATAGATGAAAATCACCCTGACACAGCTGTTGCAAGCCGTGCTGGTGACTATTTCAATGACAATGTTGTGGCCCATTTTAGACAAATCGTAAAGGAACGGGAGGTTACAGAGCTCTATGGACAGATTTGTTGTGCGACAGAGGTCCAGTGACTCTCAAGCTGGTCCTAGTGGCATTAAAAGAAGAAGGAAAGTAACCCCGGAAAAGGACTTGCTACCTCAAGTCGTAATGGAAGGGGATTCCCCTTCTAAACAGTAAGAAGATAATGCTCTCCCCTCCTCCCATCCCATCAATCATCCCCCAGATCTTCAATAAAAGTAAGTGTCATGTAATTGTGCATGCCTTTTTCAGTTTGTTGTATTAAAAATTAACATTTCATGTGGTAAAAAAAAAATTTTTTCCCTACTTTTGGGCGTCTTGCAAAGGATTAATTTTATTTCCATTATTTCTTATGGGGAAAATTCATTCGCATAACGATTATTTTCGCATAACGATGAGCCCCCTTGCACGGATTAAAATCGTTAACCGGGGGTCCACTGTAATTCAGGGTTGAGGCGGGGTTTTTAATAACATTTGTTATAAAAAAATAGTACATGTTTTAGTATTAATAACTGTATTATTATTAACAGTTGTTTTTAAATAAATATATTTTAAAGAATAATAGTACATATTTTTAGAGTGGGTTTGGTAGACAGCAACCACCCGGGGAAGTACAAAGTCCTCCCAGATGAGTGAAACAAAAAACCTGTAATTTTTTAAAATGATGGTAGGATTGTGGTTTTTTTTTTCTGTTATAAACACGCAAAATAACGGGTATCTTGCTATCCTACTTACACTTGTCACACTTCACAGACACGCACAGCATATTATATAAACTTACATCTGGTTTTTCCTTTTTCTAAATAGTCTTGTTCTTTTTTATTTCTTTCTTTGTCCAGGGGGGAAGTGGAAAAAAAATCTTTCTCCGTAAGCCATCGTGTCGTATGGGGCGACTATAATGCCGGGAGAAAATGGCTAGAAACCCCCCTTCCCCTGTATACATTTACTAAAAAAGAGAAAAAGAAAAACTTTATAAAACGGGGTTGTTAAATGTGCTTGGTTTTAGTGCGGATGACAAAAAAACAGATGTTGTTGTTATAAAGGGAAAAGAAGTTGGATTGTCCTGGCCCCAGCGAAACAAAGTGAAGGGGTAGGGGGTTTTTTCGGGGGGGGAAAAAAATGGTTTAAAATCTGGAGTATCTGAGAGATTTTTTAGAGAAAAGGAAGGGGGTAGAGTAATGTTAAATGATCGTTAGGGAAAGGGAGAAAAGAGAATTAAATGGTAAATTAAAAGAATTATGTGGATTAAAGAAAAAGGTTGGATGCGAGAAGTGGGTCTAATAAGGTGTATGCACCTGGAAAAGAGAGAAATGCAGAGGAGGAGAGAAGTTTTGGGAGGTTAGTAAAATGTATGGAGCCTTTAACCCAAATGGGAGGAAATTTGTTTTGGGGACCTGAATGCTAAAGTGGGAGAACCTTTAGAGAGGGTGTGGTAGGTAATTTTGGGTCCCCAGGTGTAAATGAAAAAGGGAGTTTTTTTTTGATTGAATTTGTATAAAAAGGGGGTTTAAATTTTAGGTAATACATATTTTAAAAAAAAAAGAGGGATAAATAAGTTACACGTATGATTAGGGCGAAATGACGTAGTTTTTTGGGTTTTTGTATTGGTAAAAAAGATTTTGAGTGACTTCAGGATGTAAATGTTTTAAGGGGCCACAGATATATCAGATCACTTTCTAGTTGTACTACACTGGAGTAAAAGGTAGATGGGTAAAAGGAGAATAGAAGCATCAGGGAAGGAGAGGTAAAAGGTTTATAAACAAAAAGGGGAGGCAGTTAGGGTAAATTAAACAGTTTTGGAGGATAGGGGGCTAATGAGACATAGGCAATGGGGTCAAGGGTAGGGGGCTGGTTTTAAAAAAATGTAGTGTTAAAAGGTTCAGCAAAAGTTGTGGTTACAGGAAAGTGGGTGCAGGGGGAGAGGAGGTTTGGGGGAATGAGATGTAAAAAAAATTTGTAAAGGGAGAAAAATTTTGCATATGAGAAGTTTTTACAAAGTGAAGTGTTTCAAGGAGGGGGAGTATATGGAGAAAAAGAGAAAGTTAAAGAGGGTGAAGCAATGAAAAAAAGGCAAATGAGAGAGGGGGTGAGATGTTATCAAAAAATTTTTGTTAAAAAAAAGAAAAAGTTTGGAGTGAGTAACTTTAAGAAAGCCTAGGAACAAATGGATTGTTTAAAAATAGGGGGAGAGTTATTAATGGAGAGTTAGGGGTATTGGGAAGATGGGGGAATATTTTGAGGAATTTTTAAAATGTTGATGAAGATGGGAAGCAGTGTTTGTGTATAGGGCAAGGAGGAATAACATTGTAGGGTGAGGAAGACCAGTTGGAGTTGGGGGAAGTTCGTGAGGCAGTAGGTAAAAAAAAAGGGGGGTAAGGCAGGGGGGATTGATGGGATAAAGATAGAAATGTTAAAAGAGGTGGGGATATGTTTGGAGTGGGTTGGTGAAAATTTTTTAATAAATGTTGGAAAGGGGAAGGTACCCAGGGATTGGCAGAGAGCAGCATGTTCCCTTTTTATAAGCAAAGGGGATAAAAAAGAGTGCAAAAATTAAGGGGGATAAGTCTGTTGGTGTACCCGTAAGGTGTATGGTAGAGTTATAATTGAAAAAAATTAGAGTAAGACGGGGAAAAGGTAGCGAGAAAAGGAGGCTTTAGGAAAGGTGGGGGGGTGTGGGCCAGGTGTTTAAGTGAAACTTTAAAAAGAACAGTTTTAGAAAGGCTAAAGAGGTTTTGTGCATTTATGGATTTGGAAAAGGGTATGACGGGTGGATGGGGGGCATGTGGCGATGTTGAAGGGATGGGTGTAGGGGTAGGTTTCTGAAAGCAGTGAAGAGTTTTTCGAGGATGTGAGGCTCAAGTTAGAGTTGTAGGAAAAAAGGGAAATTTTTTCCCAGTAAAGGTAGGCCTTAGACAAAGGTGTTGATGTCACCCTGGTTGTTTAATATATTATAGATGGGGTTGTAAGAAAGTAAATGCGAGGGGTTTTTGGGAAGAGGGTGGATTAAAAGATAAAAAATCACACACAAAAGGGGGTTGTAAGTGCTCTTGCTGTGACACTGTGCTTTGGGGGATTCTGAAGAGAAGTTGCAGGATTGGTGGATAATTTGGGAGGGGTGCAAAAGAAAGAAAAATTAAAATGAATACAGGAAAGAGAAGGTTTTGAGGATCAAAAAGATTGGTGATGAAAGATTGAATATCGATTTGGGGGGAGAGAGTTGGGGGGTGAACGTTTCAGATATTTGGAGTGGACGTGTCAGCGGGTGGGGCTATGAAAGTGAGGTGAATCATAGAATTGATGAGGGAAAAAAGAGTGAGGGTGCCTTAGGAGTCTGTGGGGGACAAAGAAATTTGTCCTTGGGGGCAAAAGGGGGGAATGTATAGAGTTAAATTTTACCAAGTCTTATATGGGTGTGAAGCGTGGGGGATGAAAAGTTTGCAGGAGGAGGAAAAATGGAGGGAGTGGGGATGTCAGTCTGAGGGGAATGTTGGTGTAATATAATGCAGGAATTCGTAGTTTGGAAGTTGGAGGAGGGGCGGGATACCAAAAATTTGTCCAGGGGTGAGGGGGGTTGTTGAGGTGGTTCGGACTGTAGAGAGAATGGAGCGAAAATAATGACTTCAAAAGTGTATCAGTCTGAGTGGGAAGGAAGGCGGGGTAGGGGTTTGGCCTAGGAAGGGTTGGGGGAGGGGGTAAAGGAGGTTTTTGTGTGCAGGGGCTTGGACTTCCAGCAGGCTGCGTGAGGTGTTTTATAGGGTGAATGGAGACAAATGGTTTTTTTTTACTTGACTGCTGTTGGAGTGTGAAAAGTAACATTTATGAAAGGGTTCAGGGAAACCGGGGAGGCCCGGGGCTTGAGTCCTGGAGATGGGAAGTTCGTGCCCGCACTCTGAGGAGGGGTGTTTAAAGTTGCAGTTTAAAAACTGTAGTGTAAAGCACCCTTCGGCAAGACAGTGATGGAGTGAATGAGGTGAAAGTTTTTTTTTCGGGGCCCCCTCCCTTTGGGGGGAAACGGCCGTGTGTAATAAAAATAATAAAAAATTATTAATAACATGTTTTTTTAACATGTTGTTATTAACCCTTTTAGGGTCCGCCCGTAGATCT